ATTTTTTGTCCTTTCCTATTTGTTTTTGGCTACATTAAAGCATTTTTTTGAAAATATACAGTAAGGTTCCATATTACCACCCGATTTTCTCTAAGCCTACTTTCGGACTTTTTGTACAAAAGCCTTCAAAAACCATACTTATAATTACACTAGCGAAAAATCCAATTAGGAACATTTAGTTTACTAGTTACCAGTACTTTTCGCACAAAAAATGTGGGTGTAGTTATGATACCTTGTTTACAATTCACTAAAATGTAATTGGGGTTCCATAATACCACCTTCTCCTCTACTGTAAATTTGTATTTTAAATAATTTTTCGGGTGTCAAGTTACTTCCTTCATCTGGTGTTTTATCTATTTCCATTATCTTAACTCTTTTTTTCGTTTATTAAGAAATCCCTTTTCCATACTTTTTCGTTTGTTTTAAGAATATGATCAATAATAGCATCTGTTAATATTGTTGGCCATAAAGCTATATCATTTATTACTTCCATGCATCTATATATATCGAAGCGTTTTTCTGGACTATTCCTATCTTCTGCGTTTTCTCAATCCCTTTTTTCAGTAGCATTTTAAAGACTGCGGGAGCCCCTTCGAGGCCCTATGCGCCCGCATAGTTCGCTCACCGCTTAAAATCCGTCGTTCAGGTATACACCACATATGCGTACCACTATAAAGCAAAAAATGATGTCAGAATTTCTGCACGCTTTTACAACCTCGAGACTAAGATTTTATTCGGGAGTTACCGTTTTCAATTTAGTAATTTAAAAAAAAAATCCTCGGGCAGATTTATTTTTGTTACAAAATGTTACCTTTACAGATTTCTGGCTCTGCACACTGTAAAAAAATCTAGAAATACAGTTTTGTATATCGTAATAATATTAGTAGTTGCCAGAGAGCTCTATAAAGTAGAGAAAAATCTGTAAATTTGAAAACTATAATCATAAATTTATATTTCTCAAAAAATAAATTAAAAAAATCTCAAAAGTCGCTACTTTTAACTGATTTGTCTGAGGTCTCCGCTCCGCTACCTCACTACGTCCCTCTAAAAGTCTCCACAGTTGGGAACACTGGTGAGCAGACATCTAGGGTCTAAGTAAGGCGAAATGTAATCGCCAAACCGCGCTGTAGAAAGGCGGAAAAATTTAAAATTCAAAAATATAATTTCTTGTGAACAGCAGTTTGGGGTCCCCTACCAAGTGGGCCCTGTGCGGGTGCGTCTGTTGCACCTGCCTAGTTACGGCTCTGCCTAAATTAATATTTATTGTAAAAAGCAGTTTCTCTCCTTTCTTTAAATTAATTTTCTCAGGGTTTCGGTAGATATTGCTTCAAGACCACACTGCCTTCTAAGAAACATTATTCGTACGCTACGAAAAGGAGAAGCACATGCCACATTTGTAGCTCCGATTTTGTTTCCCCGCGTCGCCGCTAGAGGCGCCTCGATCTAGTTTCGCCGTTCCTTGCACTAGCTCTATAACGAGTATCGTAAAGCCGATGGCCGGATGGTCAAGCGGTCAAGGTGGCAGTTTACCTCTCTGGGCACCTGTGGGACGAATCCTTCCCTCGCCATCAGACCGTCTGCATTGTGGACTCGGCTGAACTCACGAAGGATATGGAAATAGGATGTTTTAGTGTCTATTCAGCGGAAAGAGCTAAAAATTAAAACAATTTTCATAATTAAGCATTACACATGTTCGAAATTTTTTGACATTTTCTGCCATAAGACAATAAAAGGACCTTTTTATCAACCCGATCATGGGTTCGACTAGACTCACAATGGGACAGACAGTCACAACAGATAGGAAAATGGGCTCGACTTATCCGGGAAATAAAAACTTCCTGGGGATTTTCGACCGTCAGGGTCCGATTTTGAGTAGCCCAGAGGAATACGCCTTAACTAATCTACCATCCGACCGTCTTTATAAAATCTATTGAAAATAACACTGACTTTTCAGTTTTCATTCTTCTGCAGTGTATTAGTGTGCATAAGAAACTAGATAAAGTAAAAACTGAAAATAGTTTCTTATAATGCTTATTTTTTCATTTTGGCTTTTTCCACCCTGTGGGCATTAAGAGGATTTTTTAATGCTCATCATGGGTTCGTCTATACCAGTGTTTATCAACGGGGGCGATATCGCCCCCATGTGGGCGTTTTTCAATGTTGAGGGGGCGATTAGTAACAATTTATATTTTGGGGGCGAAAGACAATTTTCTGGACGATATAGTAGAAACATTATATTAAGAATAATTAGATATTTTATTCGTCATATCGCACAATAATTAAACAAATAACATTATACTAGTCACTAGTCTATTCAATGCAGTACGAATTTGGCGTTAGCCTTGGCCCTCGGCATCGGAATTTTGAAGTGAA